GGGGGGGGGGGCGGGGTTGTAAATCTACGTCTTGGGCACGAATGAAACACCAGCTGGCCTAGGTCAGTTGGTACACCCCTGAATTTTTTTATTTTTTTATTTTTTTTCACCCCTGAATTGTTGCAATAGAGACCCGAGTACGAACTCCACTGGAAGCGGATTTTTTTTTTTTTTTTTTTTTTCACCCCTGAATTCTGAATTACCTAGAGCCGGTCAGTTCAATGATGGTATCTGAAGGCTGTCGCCCTTTTTTAAAATAGAAATTAAACAAATATAGTGAAATATCTTATCTGGAGAGCAATTAGTGTTCTTGACGAAAGCATAGCAACGGGCCTCGCTCCGCTGCACAGCACTCTACATGCATTTGGTTGCTATGTTGACCGGATGCATTAAAAAATGTTGGACTCGTCTGAATGCACATGGTCGAAGAAAGCGTCGAAATGCAATGTGGAGTATCGTGTAGTGAAGCGAGGGCCAACATTCGAGTTGAGGTTGCATGTCAAAAGGCTATGTTTCCTGAGGGCCTGTTCACACTAGGACTTCCCGAAACGTACGTACCTGACGCTGAACACAACCAGATTCAATCGAGAAAGTCCTAGTGTAAGTTACGGCCTTCAGGTCAAGAGTGTCATGAGCAAGACAGACTGGCGGAACCTCCTCTTTCCCATTTTCCTTTGTCTTTTTTTCTTTCTCCGCTCTACGATTGACCTGGCCACTGCTGCTGAACATGCACAGCGGCTACCTCACTATCCTCCCCTCCCCCCCTCCCCCCCCACCAAGCGAGTCACCTTGTTCTTTTCTAATGACACAATCCAGCGGCCACCTTTGTCTCTTCGAGGTTGGGGGGTAAAGAAGTGGGGCAAGAACGAAGAGGGGGGCGGGGGGGGAACAGACAAAAGCCAGCCCTTTTCTCGCTTGCCCCGACTGAGCCCTTCCCTCCGACATCCTGGATGAGAGCGAGAACGACACAGGAAGAGAGAGAGAGAGAGAGAGAGAGAGAGAGAGAGAGAGAGAGAGAGAGAGAGATCCTGTGGTTTTCGTTGGCAGGTGTCGGTCGACCAGTGGCTAACGTTGCACAGCTCAACTGACTTCTAATTAAACAATATTAAATGTTTCTTCAGAAAAAAAAAAAATAATAATAAATAAATAAGTAAATGTTCATTTCACATATTTACGTATTAATCTTCGACACCGGTCAACCATCCGACTGCTATTCCTCAAGTCTTATTATTATATTGAAAAAGAAAATCTTTGATTGAAAGTATAAAACCAGACTAAAAATTATTTATAAAAAAAAAGCTGGCTTTTACAAGGAATGGCGTGACCTCGCATGTTTCTGCGCCTCCATTTAGTACACACTCTTCCCACCCTCAAGAGGGCGGTGGCGAAGGGGGGTAGGGGGAAAGGTGGGGGGGGGAGGGGGAACCTTCAGAAACATAAGAACAAGGCGTTCTCTCTCTGCCTTCCGGTCTCTCCCGCGGAACTCGATGCTGTCCTTCGGGACATCCCTTAACAATGGCAAGGGTGGCACGCCAAAATAGAGGGGGGGGAGGTAATCAGTGTACCCTTGTTAACATGGCCCCTGCGCCAGGGTGGGACGCATAAATAAAGGGGGGGCTGGGGAATCAGTGTACCCAGCTCTACAACGGTAGGCACCATCTTATCCATAAGCTTATCCATTACTATTACTGGCCAGAAAGTCATAAAAGGGTGAAAATTTTATGCGGTTCATGCTCACATCTCATCTTCTTCTTCTTCGTGGACGTCTTCTTGTTTTTACCTCTTTCCATATTTATCCTTACATCTCACCTTTCCATCTTTCTCCTCAAAGCTCATCTTCCCACCCTCAGTGAGCGGTGAACTCTCTCTCTCTCTCTCTCTCTCTCTCTCTCTCTCTCTCTCTCTCTCTCTCTCTCTCTCTCTCTCTC